CCCCCCCCCCCTCTGGGAAGGATGGAGGAAGTGGGGAGTGGGCCTTGGCTGGTTTTTTTTGGGGAGTGGGGGGGAGTTGTAAATGCCCAAAGTGGAAAGTTTCAGATGGAATCTCACCATCCCCTCACTCCCTTTCTTTCCACTTCCTCTTCTCTTTTCCTTTCATTCCTTTGTTTCCTCACTCTCTTTCTCTTATCCCTTCTTCAGCTTCTTTTCTTTCTGGTCATTCATTTCTTTTTTTTCTCACTCTCTATTTCCATTTTCTATCCTTCTCTCCTCTCCTCACCACATTATCCCTTCCTCGCATTTCTCTTTTCTTCTTTCCTTTCCTTTATTTTCTCTCTCTCTCTCTCTCTGTTTTCTATCCTTCTCTACCTTCTGCACTCCTCCTCTCTCCCTTATCCCTTCCTCAGCTTCTCTTTGGTTTTCTCTCTGGTGACTCCTTTTTTCTCGCTCTCTTTCTCTCCTTTCCCCATTTTTAATCCTTCTCTACCTTCCGCTATCCTCTCCTTAGCCCTTCCTCAGCTTTCTTCCTTTTTTCTTTCATTTCTTTTCCCTCTTTTTCTCTCTCCCCCTCTCTCTTTCTCCCTCTTTCTTTCTCTTTTAATCCAAATACAGCCGCATTCTTTCCCCCCAAAATATCAGAATTTCTCTTCTTTGTCAGATCAACAAGCTGAAGAAGGCTGTGGCAGCCGCCCAGACCTTCTTCTCAGCCAATCCGGACCACGCCGAGATGCGGCAGAACCTGGCTTATTACCAGATGATGGTTGGGGTCAAAGATTCGGATTTTATTGATTTGGAGGCTAAACCCCACATGGTGAGGTCACGTCACAGTTTGATGCACGCCCTTTCCCTCCCCCCCCTCTCCCTTTTTTAAAATTAAAGGAATTGCAGAACCTTGTAGAATTAATTCTACAGAACTGCAGCAAAAGAGAGAAAAAGAATGTGCAAAATTATAAAAAAGGCAGGGGGGAAAAAATACAAGAAACTTAAAAAGCAAGGAAGAAAATCACCCGGGGTGTGTCTTTATGGTATCGAAGCTTTTTTTAAAAAATTTAAAATTATCTTGAATAAAATATTTTATTACATGTAATAAAATGCATGAAATTGATTAAAAGTGTCCTCCATCCCACCTAAGCGATTCTGCGGGGTGGTTTACAACCTATAAATGTGTGTGCGTGTACCATATAATATACGGTATATATGCACATATGGACATATAAACACACACACACGCACATGGATACATGTATGTGATGCGATGGTTCAGAAGCATAAAGGCAGTTCTCAACTTATGACCACCGTTTTGAGCCCCAAACTTCTGTTGCTAGGCGAGACGGTCGTTAAGCGAGTTTCGAGCTGCTTTACAACCTGTCTTGCCGCAGCTGTTAAAGAGATTCTTCACTGCAGTTGTTAAATGAGTGAACCGTTGACTTTTGCTCGCCGGAAGGTTGCTCATTTAACGACTTGTCATGGTTCACTTAACAACTGCGGCCAAAAGAAAAAGTTGTAAAATGGGGCAAAACTCACTTTAACAGCATAAACTTTGGCCTCGACTGACATCGTAAGTTGAGGACTACCTGTATTTATGACGGTTTTAGTATCTCTCGATTAAGTGATCAGCATTTGCCATCTTCCCACTGGGCTTCTGATAAACAGAGCTGGATTTGCCGGTAGGAAGGAGTGGCTCTCTTAGCGACCGTACTGCCTAGCGATGGCCTCGAAGAGGGACGAAAGTCAGGGACTACTTAAGATAGAATTGCTAGCTGGAGATGCTAAGACGGTTCAGCTTTGCTTTCTGGGGTTCAAAGCTGGCTTCTCCAATTCTCTCCCTAGCAAGATTTCCACCTGGGTGTGAGTTACTACACGGAGGAGAATCCTCAGGCGGCCATTTTGCACCTGGAGAAGGCGCTGGATGAGTACTGGGTAGCCGACGAGGAGTGCCGGGTCCTCTGCGAAGAGCCGTACAACCACGATGGTTACAACTACCTCGAATACAATGCCGACTTCTACCAAGCCTTTATCGGTGAGCGGAGGGAAAGAACGGGACAACAAGTCCCATAAGGCTCGGTGGGAAGCTGTGGGCTGCTGGCTGGGAGAAGGCCATGTATCTGGGATGCCTGACTCGGTCAACCCTGCGAAGTCTTAGAAAACCGGTGTTCAGATATTCTGCTCCTGGATACGGAGGTTCTCTGTAGCTCGTTCCGTTAGAAGTCTTTAGGGGTGACACGGTCTTTTAATATTTTAAAACAAAAATGCTTTTCTAACTAGAAATGAAACAGGCCTCGTATGGAAAGGGTGAGGAGAGGTATTGGCTGCTGGGGGATTCTGGGAGCTGAGGACTCGTGAGTAGGGGATTCTGGGATTTTATTTCTTCATTTAAATTGGTTATGAGCGCTCTGCTCCAATGGATTCCGGGCAGTGTATGAAACCTCCAAAATCCATTTTTAAAAAAATAATAACATTGAAAGTCAACCAGAAAATAGATGCTGGCTAGGGAGTTCTGGGAGCTGAAGTCCATACAGTTAGTTCTCGACTTACGACCATAATTGAGTCCAGCATTTATGTTGCTAAGTGAGAAATGTGTTCACTAAACCAACTGTTGTATCTTGAGGGCTTATCTGTGCATGCTAGCTAGGGGATTCTGGGAGTTGAAGTTCACATGGGCTGCTTGCTGGGGAATTCTGGGAAGTGAAGTCCAAATAGGCTCACAAAGGTTCCAGGAAGTCAAAATCTACCTAGACTGGCTGGGGAATTCTGGGAGTTGAAGTCCACCCATCCTAAAAGTCGGGAAACGCTCGTCTGTCTTAGAACGATGTCCGAACCTTCGATCCCAATGGCTCCCTGTGAGTAATCCTCTTTTTCTCGGACCTTCCCGGGGGCAGATCATTACACCCAAGTGCTGAACTGCAAGCAAGGATGCGTGACCGAGTTGGCGCAGGAAGCCGGTCAGGAGAAACCCAACGAAGATTTCCTCCCATCTCACTTCAACTACCTGCAGTTCGCCTATTACAACAGTATGTGGGGCTTGGGGAGGGGAGTTTGGGGGGGGGGAATCCCATTAATTGCACCCCGCTCCGTCTTCCAGGGGGCTCTCGGGGAAGTTGGCTACCTTTAAACTGAGTTTTGGGGCATGTTGGTTTCTAACCTGTTAAGGTAACCTGTTAAGAACTGTTAAGGTAACACCTAAGTATGTGTTTATATGATGTTATTGTTATTATTGTTATTGCTATTATAGATTTAATCTTCAATTTGATTCACAATCTGGGATTGGTTAAAAAAATTCAGGTTCTAATCTAGGACTTAAGAGCTGTTAGGGTAATGCCTGAATATATATTATTACGTTATTATTATTATATATTTAATGTTCAATTCGATTCACAGTCTGGGACTGGTAAAAACTTAACAGTTCAGGTCCTGGCCAAGGACTTAAGAGCTGTTAGGGTAATTTCTGAATACATATTATTACATTATTATTATTATTATTATTATTATTATTATTATTATTATTATATATTTAATGTTCAATTCGATTCACAGTGTGGTAAAAAACTTAGCAGTTCAGGTCCTAACCAAGGACTTAAGGTAGCGGTAGCTCAGGTAGCATCTGAGTATATGGGAATGATTGTCTGACGATGATTGTGATGATTGTGATATATTTCCAGTCTTCCCTTAAGGCTCTCCTTCCGCCCTGTCACAGGTGGCCACTATGGGAAGGCAGTCGAATGCGCAAAAACCTACTTGCTTTTTTTCCCGAACGACAATGTGATGAAGCAGAACGTGGCTTATTACGCAGCTATGCTGGGAGAGAACCTGGCCGAACAGATCGGGCCCAGAGAGGCAAGATTTCTGCCCCGCTATCCACCCACCCACCCATTCACACACACACACACACACACACCCAGGCTTGAAAACAGGGTCTTTTGAGGGGTCCCTTAATGCCCCCAGACACATTGGAAGAGAAATCTGGGCCTCGGCTGACACTGTAAAATAGGCAGTGAAGAAAAGTGGGAAGTGTATCCAGAGGTCATCTAGTCCAGCCTCCCCCTCCCGCCCAGGAAAAGAATCCAAACTGAAGCGTAGGATGAGAAGGTCGGAGGGGGACCTGGGAGGCCATCTAGTCCAGCCCCCATGCCCAGGGCAGGGAGCCAAATGGAAGCGTTGGGTTCTAAAAGGGTAAGATCAGAGGGAACGTGGGAGATCATTTAGTCCAGCCCCCCCCCCCCCCCCCGAATCCAAATGTACTTTTCTCCAAATAGAAATAGGCTCAAACCTTGTGCCCAGGTGAGCAGAGGCCAGAATAAGCCAAGCTGACCCCTCCTGAGCTTGATATAAAAATGATATTATTATATAATTTATTTTGTACTATTACATTATGACCACAAAGCTCATTCTATCCCCTTGCAACATCATCTTTATAACCAACAGCCAGAAGAGGAATTTACATAATATAGCCAAAACCGTAACAACTGAAACACTGAGGACTAGAGCCTTGCAAAGCCTAGCTCTCTCTCGAGTCAAAGGATTTTAGATGATTCCGTGCTTTTTTCAAAGCTCCACCCAGTTTTGTGCGACATTCTGAACTAGTGTTTTTACAGCCTCGGCCCCTTTAAGACACCTGGACTTCAACTCCCAGAATTCCCCAGCCAGCAAAGCTTTCTGGGAGTTGAAGTCCAGATGTCTTAAAGGGACCAAAGTTGTAAAAAAAAAAAAAATCACTGTTTTGGACATCCATTAGGTCAGCTGACTGGCAAACAGATCGATCTGATCTCATTTCTCTAATTTTGACCCATTTTTCTGCCTTTTTTTTTTTTTTTTGCTGCAGAAAGTCCAGATTTATCGCCGGCGGAGTCTTTTAGAGAAGGAATTACTCTATTTTGCATATGACGTCTTTGGCATTCCTTTCGTCGATCCGGTAAGCAAAATGTCTTATTTTCCAAGGAACTGAAAAATAGGATAGACAGATTTAAGGGGACCCCCGTGCATGCGTGTGTGTGTGTTTGTGTTGTTGTGCTGTGCCCTGAAATAGCCATTTTTGATAGTGACTTTAAGACCCACAAGTTGGACTCGAAATTCAAAGGAAAACAGAATATTTTGAGAAAATGCAAGGTTCGAATTTAAGGTGGGTGGACTCCAACTCCCAGCATTGCACGCTGGCTGGGGAATGCTGGGAATTGAGGTCCATATGTCTTAAAGCAGACCAAGGAATTCTGGGAGTTGAAGTCCATCCACCTTAAAGCATTCTAGCTCGGGGATTCTGGGAGTTGAAGCCCATCTTAAAGCATGCTGGCTGGGGCATTCTGGGAATTGAAGTCCATCTTAAAGCATTCTAGTTGGGGGATTCTGGGAGTTGAAGTCCATCCATCTTAAATCAAGCTGGCTGGGGGATTCTGGAGGTTGAAATTCATTCCTCTTAAAACCATCACAGTTGAGAAACACGAGTTTTGTCCAGAAAAGCGTGGCTATCTTCTTTAACCGTCCTTATCTTGCTTTTAAAGGACACATGGACCCCGGAAGAAGTCATTCCCAAGAGACTTCAGGAGAAACAAAAGTAAGACCTAAATGAACCACTATAAGTCAAGGACTAGCCAGGATAAAATCACAGCAATAACATAGCTAAAATCGAGAGAGAGAGAGAGAGAGAATCTCTTCGGGGTCGCAGGAAAAATGAACCTGGATTGCAGGGTGAAATCCCGGGTTCGGTGTCGCCTCGCGGAAGGATGAAACCTGCGTTCTCTCTGTCTCCGCAGGGCTGAACGCGAGACGGCGGCCCGGATCTCAGAGGAGATCGGTAACCTCATGAAGGAGATTGAGAATCTGGTGGAGGAGAAGACGAAGGAATCTTCCGACATGAATAAACTCGTACGGGAAGGTGAGCTGCCCCCCCCCCCAAATCGGGACCTGAAGGCCTCGGGAAACCACAAAGGTGCTAAAATCAGGTAGTTCTCGACTTACGACCAGCGTTGAGCCCCAAATTCCTGCTGCTAAGCGAGACAGCGCACCGAGGAATTCTGCCCATTTTTATGGCCTTTCTTCCCACACCCAGTTGTTGAGGGAAGCACCGCGGTTGTTAAGTCAGTCACACGGTCGTTAAGTGAGTCTGGCTTTTGGTCGTCCAAAAGAGATCGTGTGACAGAAATTATGAAATGTAACGATATGATGTGAAATTGAACGGTCATGTTTGGATGGGAATATAAAAACCTGGAACCAACGCTGTTCACCAAAAGAGATGTTTTTTGAAACCTAAAAATAAAAAAAACTTTTTTACAAAAATTAAAAAGGTCCCTTGTCCCTTCGGTGCGGTCGCTAAGTGAACTGTTGTAACTGGAGGATTTCTTTCCTGCCAAGGGGGCCCATTGGTTTACGATGGGCTCAGGGTTGCCATGAATTCCAAGACCCTGAACGGCTCTCAGCGCGTGGTGGTGGACGGAGTCCTTTCCCAAGAAGAATGCCGGACGTTGCAAGCCCTGACCAATGTAAGAAAAGCACTATGGTCTTTGGAATACCTGCCCAGGTTGCACTCACAGAGCCCCCCCCCACTCCCCTTTGGGGAAACCACGTTTCGCGGTCCCGGGAGCGAGCGACCCCCCCCAAAAAAAACACTTAACGAGTATTTGGGCTCAATTGCAATCGAATGTTTGAGGACTGACTCGCCCATACAACCTACGGCAGTTTGTTTTGTGATCACTAGATGGCAGCATTTCCTTCTCCCGCTGCCAATTCGAACCCCAAATCCTTCTTTTTTTATACATTTTTTTTGGGTGGGGGGGTGGGCATTTTCATCTTTTAAATCTGCAGTCTCCCCAATAGGACTAAAGCAAAAAAAAACACAAAAAAACAAATCGGAGTTTTCCTTCTGGGATTTTTCTTTTCTTAATCATGCAAACTTTGTTTATAAAGTTCTATGATATTTTAATATTCCTCCTCGTATTGCAGGCAGCTGCTTCGGCGGGCGACGGTTATAGGGGACAGACCTCGCCCCACACACCCAGCGAGACTTTTCATGGGGTGACCGTCCTGAAAGCCCTCAAGGTAAACCCTCCCCACACCCCCAAAAAGAGAAAGATCTGGGATTTGGGAAGCTGGTCTCCGAAAGCATAAAAATATAGAGCTAGAAGGGTCCTTCGAGGTCTTCTAGCCCAACCCCTTGCCCAAAGCCAGGGCCTTCATGAGGACTAGAAGCCCAGCCTTTCAAAAGACAAGTCCAAAGCTCGTGGGAGGCAATTTGTTTTTGTTTTTTAAATTCTCAAAATTAAATTGATTTCTAAAACCCAGTGGGTCTCAGATTTGGGGTAACCCTGGTTTTATTTTTCCTCCTCCGTGTGGATATCTCGCCCCCGACCCCAGCTGGGGCAGGAAGGCAGAGTTCCCATGCCGAGCGCTTACCTCTACTACAACGCCACAGAGAAAGTCCGCCACATGTTGGAGTCTTACTTCCGCCTGGACGTCCCTCTGCATTTCTCCTATACTCACCTGGTGTGCCGGACGGCCATCGCAGGTGAGCAGGTGGACAACGGCGAGGTGGGGGAAGGGGAAGAGAATTGATTTTAAAACCTGGAAGACACAAAGGCCGGCAGGTTGAGGCCGAGAGAGTAGAAAAGGGGGTAAGATTCCCAACCCACCAAGTTTTTTCCCCGCTCAGAATTTCAGGCTCTCCACGAGGACTAGAAACCTGCTGCGTTTTCAGCTTCTGTTTTTCCACCCAAGGGGATTTAATTCAGCTGGGCGGGTGGGATTCGTAACTCGCAGGATGCCCCGATTTGGGGTAAGACCAGATTGAGCTGGGGGGAGGGAAGGGAGGGATCAAAAGGGATCTCCCCCATTTCTCTCTCCCCTAGATAAACAGGGGGGCCGAACGGATCCCAGCCACCCCGTGCACGTCGACAACTGCATTCTCAACGCCGAGGCCCTGGTGTGCCTCAAGGAGCCCCCTGCGTACACCTTTCGGGACTACAGGTGAGTTTGGCTGGGTCGTCTGAAGCTCCCATCTTCCCCTGCCGCAGGGGAATTCTGGGAGTTGGAGTCCCCCAGTTTTAAAAGTTGTAGTGGTTGAAAAATATGGGCCTAGATCAGTCCAACCTTGGCAACCTTAGGACTCGTGGACCTCAAATCCCAGAGTTCCCTAGTCACTTAAAGACTTGTGGACTTCAACTCCCAGCTGGCTGGGGAATTCTGGGAGTTGAAGTCCACAGGTCTTAAGTTGCCAAGATCACAGCAGAATTCCAGTATTTTTCATGGAGTATCTTTCCTAATGTGGCCTACCTCGAAGGGCTGCCAGATCCAGAGAGGCTAAACAAAATGGACTACTTCAGAGCCCTTGATCTGGGGCTGCCCTTGAAGACTGCTTGGAAGCGACAGCTGGTCCAGCACGCAGATAGAACGCAATTTAATCTGCCTTGAACATTGAGGACTAGTATGTTTTTCATCCATTTACAATTGTTGTTCTCGTTGTCCCGTTTACACCATCTCAGTTAAAACAACCTGATTTTCTCCAGAAAGATCTGGAAGCTTCTCCTAAAAGTCAAGGAAAAAATCAGAATTTATTTTTTATTTTGGGGGGATTCCTCAGGGTTTAATCTCCCAGTCAGTAAAAGAGATTTATTGCTTTCTAGCGCCATCCTTTATTTAAACGGAGATTTCGAAGGAGGGGAGTTTTATTTTACCGAGTTGGATGCCACGACCGTCACGGTAAGTCTCTGAATTTCTGGATTTCCAGTTAGGGTGCATTGTCAATCATTTTTAATTTATTATTTGCAACCTGCTTTTTCAGTGAATCCTTGCCTTCCAACAGTTCATTTAGCGACTGTATGAAATTACCCCCTGCACTGAAAAAAAACCCTCCGTTTTTTACCGTTATCACTTTTGTCCCCATTATCCATATCGTGGTCAAAATTGGCAACTGACTCATATTTATGAGGATTCACTTAACAGCAGCAAGAGAAGTCGTAAAACGGAGCAGAGCTCACTTCCAGTCTCCCGTAACCACAGAGATTTAGCGCATCAGCGACATCGGTTGGGAGAGCAAAGCCCAAGGTGGCCTTGATGGATTTTGGGGTGGGGGGAATTATCTACTAAAATAGTTTTTTTGCGGGGATCCCAATTTGCTCTCTAGGCCGAGGTGAAGCCCCAGTGCGGCCGGACAGTGGGCTTCTCGGCTGGATTGGAAAACCCGCACGGCGTCCGAGCCGTCACGAAGGGCCAGCGTTGCGCCATCGCCTTGTGGTTTACCCTGGACCCCCGCCATAGCGAACGGGTGAGTGCGGCACCTCCTCGGGCCCCGTGGTGGGCAAAAAAGTCAAAATGACAGCCATCTCGACCTTGTGGGGGGGTTTTTTGATAGTGGAGGGGAAATTCGTGCAGCAAGAAAATTCTAGAGGAGACGGGTAGGGGGTTTCGTGCCGTGAGAAACTCAGGAAAAAAGAGATTTTTTAAAAAAAATATTGAAATCAAAGACTATTTTTTAAAAAAAAAATCATATCTAGTTCACACGCCTTTGTTTTAAAAAGAAAAGGACAATGGGCTCAAGGATCTAGTCCTCAATGTGCCTTGGAACTTGCTCTGCCTGCACTTCAAAAATTCGCTCTGGGCTTGCAAGAAAATAATAATAAAAAGCAAAAAATTGTTCAAGGCTGCAAAAAATGCCTTTTTCCCCACTTTCTATTTCTTTACTTTTTTTTCTCCCTCTCTTTATTGGAGGGTCACAAAGTAGCTAGTCCTCAGTGTCCCTGACTCTTCCTCTCAAAGCTCCCCCCCCAAAAGCCATTTTTTCCCCTTTCTATTTCTTTTTTACTTTCTTTTTATTTCCTTCTTCATTGGAGGATCCCATGTCACTAGTCCTCAATGTCCCTGGCTGCTCCTCCTTTTCATTCACCCTTAAAAATTGCTCAAGGCTGCAAAAAAAATTTTTTTTTCCTTTTCCATTTCTTCTTTAATTTTCTTCCCTCTCTCTTTATTGGAAGGTCACAAGCAGCTAGTCCTCAGTGTCCCTGACTTTTATGTTGACTTTTATAAACATTTCTTGTAAATCCTGCCATCCTTCGCCTGGCCTACCTCGCAGGGGCTGACAAAATGGACGCTGCCTCAGGAATTCTGGGAGTTGAAGTCCACGGGTTGTGTTATTCAATTAAAATGGACGCCCCGTTTTCTCTCTCTCATTCTCCCCTTTTTTCCCCTCAGGAGAGAATCCAAGCCGATGACCTGGTTCGGATGCTCTTCAAAACCGAAGAAACCCAATGGCTCCCCGAAACGGGACCGAACCCCAAAGAGGCCGAAACAGCCCCCAAAGAGACTTCTGAAAAGAAAGACGAACTATAGAGCCACATCTGGTTCAAAAAGCGGGATTATGAGATAATTTGTCATAATTTGGGGTACGAATTGGGTCTCTGGAGCAAGAGAGAAAACTGACCATAAACATCAGTGACTATAAAAATACAGGCGGGAGATATCGGGGTTTGCCCTTTCCCCGTTTCTTGAATGGCTGGAAAATTCATCAGGTTGAAAGGGACCTTGGAGGTCCTCTAGTCCAACCCGCCCTGCCCGAGGCAGGAGTTTTCATACACTGCATTTTTTTTTCCATGAAATATTCCAGCGATGGAGAACCCGCAACTTCGGGAGACATAGCTTCATAACTGATAGTCCCCCAACAGTTCGTTTAGTGATCGTTCGAAGTTACGACGGCCCTGGGGGAAAAAGGGACCGTTTTTCAGGCTTACAACCGTTGCAGGTCCCCTGCAGTCCTGTGATCAAAATCGATTGGCCACTGTCTCATATTTATGACGGTCGCTGTGTCCCAGAGCTCACGCGATCCCCTTTTTACGACCTTCCGACCAGCAAAGTCAACGGGGAAGCCGGATTCACTTAACGACCATGTGACTTAACTTTATAACTGCAGTGATTCACTTAACAACTATGGCAAGAAATGTTGTAAAAATGAGGTAAAACTCGCTTCACAAATGTCTCACTTAACAACCGTTGGGCTCGAGTGTGGTCTTAATTCTAGGATTCACCTAGGATCAACGGCCGCGATTCGCTTAAGGGCGGCAGGAAGGGTCGTAAAATGGGACAAAACTCCCTTTGCCAATGCCTCAGAAATTGGGGGCTGGATCACGGTCGTAATTCGAGGACTTGCTTTTATAAATACATTTTTTTGCAAACCTGTTTGTGAGTCTCTTTGAACTCTGTAACGTGCAACGGATATTTTGAGACGGACGGTTTTTGAGGCTAGAGAGGGAAGGAAAAATTTAATAAGAGGTAGGAAGACAAGGTATATTTACGGCGTGGGCTTCATCGAAAGATTGGAAGGCTTGAGAAAATAAAGCTGGTTTTATTTCTAGGCCCGGAAAACAGACTCGCAAGGAAAGGGGAAAGTGAAACAATTGTGCTTTTTAAATTCATTTAACCAGTCAGAAAAGCTTTTCTTGCAAAGAAGGGATCGAAATGAGGCAGAGAGAAGAAGGGGAAGGAAATCTTGATTTTTTTTCTAGGAAAAACAGGCGGGAAAGTCCCCATCTAGGGGCCCTACTCCAGCTCCCATCATTCCCAGCCCTGGAAATTTCCCTTGGCAGCAGCTTGGATGGAGTTTGGTCCCCTCCAGAGCAAGCAATTTGTGACTGGCTTGGACTGCGTCTCCCATTGTCCTCATCTCTTGCAAGCCGGCATGCATTAAGCCGTATACACGTTTTTTGCTTTATAACGGGGGCTTCCTCTGTACGTCACTGTTTGAGGCAGGACATTCTGCCACCTTTGCCTCCTCTTCCTCCTAGCAAACTGTGGTTTGTCTTTCCGCCTGGTCCTTGCCGGCTTGTTTTTTTTCCCCCCACAAACCAGGATTGGGAAAGCTGGCTAGTGCATGCATTGTCTGCAGCTGCCGAGGGAGGGAGGGAAGTGTGCAATGCGAAATACAAAAACCCGACAGGACAAATTCCTCCTTCGCTGTGCACAATGGACACCCATCTCCAAGTTGGAAATATTTAACCGCCGTTCTCATTAGCAATCAGCTCACGATCGGCCGCCTGGTTTCACCTTAATTGGCTTGTTAACGGGTCAGCTGCTTCTCAGTTACGGCCACCTGCCTCTTTGGGGGTGGGGTGGGGGACAGTTCCCAGAACCCCAAAGGAATTCACAGCACCCTCCCCTCCTCGGTCTAGACTACTGCAGGGCAGCGTTGCTGGGGCGGCCCTTGGAGACTGTCCGTTCCTGCCTGTAGGTTCGCTACACATCATACGTCGCATAAATTGCCTTTGGCGCGGTCCTTAAGCGAATCGCTGTTTGTGAACGACGTCGCCTGGTCGTTAAGTGAATCGGGCTTTGTTGAGGGGAGGCGTTGCCAAGGTCGACCGCCAGACCCCTGAAACAGCCATAAGGACGAGGCTAGCTGCTTTTTTTTTCCAGCCTGGCTGTAGCGTCGAATGGTCACTAAATGGATGGGTCGTATGTTGAGGACTCCCTGTCGAGTTCCACGCACAATGGAGTCCCTAATTTTGGGCTGCTGAGTGAAACGTTCGTGAGGTGAGTTTTGGCCCGTTTTATTTTTCTTCTCCCGGTTCTTAAGTGAATTAAGCTGAACCTTAATTCTCCCCAGGATATTCTCCCTTAAGACTCCGCAGAATACTACGTCCGTCATAAATACGAACTAGTGGGCCTAGCCTCCGAATTTTGATCATGTGACCTTGGGACGCTGCGTCCATCATAAATACGAAGCAGTGGGCCAAGTATCTGAATTTTGAGCACACAATCACAGGGAAAAGGCTACCATGGTCATAAGTGTGAAACACGGCTTTTTTCAGTGCCGTCATAACTTAGAGCGGACACTAAATGAACGTATAAGTCAAGCACTACCTATATTGAAGTAACACCTGTAATTATTTGAACCGGGTTTCTTATAAGAAGCCCGAAGCAACTTTACAACACCCCACCATAAAACAGCAAAAGTTGCACACGTTCTCGCCAGGCCTGTTGTGTGTCAATGCCTGTTTTGTTGACAAAAGACTCAACCCACTCGGATTCCAGTCGAAATGGCAAGCGGCCCCCACAATTTTCGGACACAAAGCTCGCCTTGCTTCCAAATGCAAAGGTTAACCTTTTTAGCATGCAGCTCAGGTTGTTTCTGACAGAAAAGGCTGCAAAGGGGTGTGTGTGTGTGTGTGTGTGTGTGTGTGTGTGTGTGTGTTGTGTGTGCAAGCGCACGCGGAGGGCCCTTCCAGCTAGGAATGCCCTTGTGCACACAGACCATCCCGGGGCTGAGTGCAATTCTACGTTTTGTTTCATTTTTCTGGGTTGGGTGGGCGACGTTTTTTTCCCCAACCTGGTTAGACGTTTCATCCTTGCGATCATGGTTTGCGAGGGCAACAGACCCAGATGTGTAGAGCCAGGGGCGGATGGTGGATAGCGGTGGATGGTCGGAGGAAGTGGGGAGCGAAGACGAAACCCTGGACCCCGATTCTTGGTGGGGTGTTCAGAGAAATCGGGGTACTCTGTAGAAGGACGGACTGACTTCCGTGCAGAGAAAAATCTGGGAATTTCCATTTTATTGGAAACGAAACCACAATTTGGACAATTTTTCTCTCTGAAATAGAAAAGGACACAAAATTAGGCGTTGGGTGTCAAGAAGAAATGTTGCCCCATCCAAGAAATAAAGGCAGAATTTAGACCTCAAAATTTGGAGAACGGGCAGGAATGACAAAACTAACTAAGTATATATTGTGTATTTATAATATTGCATTCATTATAGTATAGTTGTGGTATGATATTGTACACACACAGACACATATATAGTATATACACAATAGAAGTTGTATTGCACGTACACACACAGCGCGCACCTCTGGGTCTGCTGCTGGTCTCTCATCCTGGTGAGAGTCCGGCTCCCATACTCCCAGGGGGCTTCCCAAGGACATCCAAACGCTCCTGTTTTCCAGGCTGCTGCTCCCCATCCACCTCACCTCCCATTTTCCCGGGGGCGCTTCCCAAGCTCATCCAAACACTCCTGTTTTCTGGATTGCAGGTCAGCGCCCACCTCCCGGTAGCCTACATCTCTCCCATTCTCCTGGGGGAGGGGGGGTGTCTTCCGGAGCTCATCCAAACGCTCCTGTTTTCTGGGCTGCCGCTCAGAGCCCACCTCTGGCTTTCCTGATGGTCTCCCATCCTGGCAACAGTCCAGCTCCCATTCTGGGGGGAACGGGACACTTCCCGAGTGCATCCAAACGCTCCTATTTTCTGATCTACCACCCAGCCCCCGCCTCAGCGCCTATTCTCCTGGAAGGGGGGGGGGTCTTTCTCCCCGTGGGGGGTGGGGCGGGGCGCTTCCCGAGCGCATCCAAACGCTCCCGCTCAGCGCCCACCTCTGCCCGGCTCTCCCGGTGGTCTCCCCCCCTGGCGCCTGTCCAGCTGCCCCGCCCGGAGAAGGAGGAGGAGGAAGAGGAGGGTGAGGCTTGGGGCTCCACCCGCGGCCAGGCGCAGAGCCGACCGTCCCGGAGCCGGCCAGTGGGGCTCGATGGCCAGCGCGGGGCTGCAGCTGACCGGCTACTTCCTCGCCCTGGCCGGCTGGGTGGGCGCCATCTGCGCTTCGGCGCTGCCCCAGTGGAAGCACAGCTCCTACGCCGGGGATGCCATCATCACGGCCGTGGGGCTCTACGAGGGGCTCTGGATGAGCTGCGCCGCGCAGAGCACCGGGCAGGTCCAGTGCAAGCTCCACGAGTCGCTCCTCTCGCTGGACGGTGCGGGCGGGCGCGCGCGCGGGACCCACGCGGGACCAGCCAGATACAAAGGGGACGGGGGGTTGGGGTATACCGAGACACGGGAGGAGCGGGGGGGGGGGGAGGGAAGGTCTCCGCCGCCGCCCGGGCGGGGCGGGTGTGGTTTGGGGGGGGGGGGAGGGGGAGCCGGGTCGTGGGAACGGACCCACGCGCGTTGCAAAAGGCACCCGTGGCTCGAGACGGGGGCGGGAGGGGCAGATCTCTGGCTTTTCCCGGACGGTCTTTCTTTCTTTCTTTCTTTCTTTCTTTCTTTCTTTCTTTCTTTCTTTCTTTCTTTCTTTCTTTC